AAATGATATATCTATAGGGTTATTTGGACTGGGTGCACGTACCTAGAAATATCATGATCTACAATGTAACTGTGCCAGATCCATCTAAAGTATATCAATTTGCAATTTCTGTAAATACCGAGAAAGGTAGCAGTGGCATGATATGGTCATCATGCACGGTAATTCATAACAAGGTGCTAGGTAAAATGAAGTCCGTCTGGATTAATCGCATCGGATCGACTTTCATCGAAGTCGGTTGGAAGCTCGATTGCTCGGATCGCATCGGGATCATCGAGGGATTCAAAGTTTATTATTGTCCTATAATGTCGCCATTAAATGTCAACTGTAATGGTCCTATGTATAATAAGACGATCTCCGCGGATGCGCGGACGATACATGGTATTGTCGACAATTTGAAACCCTATACTACGTATATGTTAAATGTCGCAGTGATGACGAAGAGCGGTGAAGGTCTACGTAGTGATCCTCTATATAATACCACTCTTGAAGCGGCACCCAGCAGTCCACCATTATACGTAAGACTTACCGAAGTGACGAACACGACGATGTTTATCACATGGAAAAAGCCATCGGCGATGAATGGTGTACTCAGATATTATCAAGTCGAGTACAATGGTAATATCAAGGAAGTGGAAGAAGGGAATCATATTAAACTCATTGGTTTAAAGCCATACACGGAATATACTATTAAAGTTTCCGCTTGTACCGTAAAATGCAGCGAAAAATCAGAGATAATACGTCACTATACAAATATCGGTGTACCTGGCAAAATTAATATTCCCCAAGTGCGCTTCATAAATTCCAGTCAAGTGATGGTCCAATGGGAACCACCGCAAGAACCCGCTGGTCCGATACAATCCATGTATTACGAGGTAGAATATGGAGACAATATGATTCAAAATGTCACTAAAAGAGGTGAGATTAATTAATAGAAAGATTTAAAAGAATTTGTAGTTATATTAAACTAAACTAAGACAAGCATTTCTTTCGAATATAATTCAACTTTTCTGTATTTCTTCGTTTCTCTATTTCTTCTATGTTTTCTTATTTTATTTATATCTTTATTTGAAAGATCAAATGATATATATAATGATAGATTAGTTGCAAAAAGAAAAGATAAAAAGATGAGAAATTATAGAGAAATGAATAGGAATGGTGACTATAATGTTGATGTTTATATTATAGAAGTGCATTTGCCCATTCCCGATTGCAAAAATGTCGAACACCGAGAGCAAAAACACAAATTCCGAATTAGAGCCATTAACATCAATCGTAATGGCGAGATTTTGAAAGGACCCTGGTCCGAATCTGGGGAGGGAAATTGTTACAATAACGGTTTGTGTATTATTGTATTTTATTATATTAACAATTAACATCTAAAAAAAACACATGGACTCAGAACTAGATTATGGTATATTATTTTATATAAACATGCTTGAAATTAAGCATATTTGTTACACTCACTACTTACAACATATACATCACATATTAGCACTTGTAAGTATAAATAAAAACAACAATTATTTAAAGAAAAAGGACTGAAAATTTAATATTGAATTTTTTATTAAAAAAATAATCAATTTAGTTGTTTTTAGATATAAATTGCGTAGTCAATTTATATACAGGACACCATATCAGATTTTTTCTTCATCTGTTTTTAGTCATTGTTTCGGAAATCATGTTTTCTACAACCTTAAGTAGAATTTTTTCTGTTGTTGATAATATCAAATACACTTTTGACATTATTAAGCGGTATTATGCTTACATATATTTTTTCATGCAATAGGATTGTCGTACGTCGCATTGGTTATTATATGGATAGTTGGCATCTGTAGCATCACAGCGCTCATTATATGTCTCGTGTGTACTTGTAAAAGGTAAAATAATTTTTAGTTTTCAGCAATTTTTTATATACAATTACATATAATCTAAGTAATTCTTAATTTCCTACAAAGAAAAAATTACAAAGGAAAAATTTATCCAATTATAGTCATTTTATAGTTTAATATGTTTTTATGATCTTTTTTACAGAATGTGGATAAAATGTCGAGCTATGCGAGATGTCGAAGTGAAATTACCGCCTGGACTCGCTCCAGATATGGTAAGCCTTTATCTTTCTTTTTTCATAATTATTTTATGCGAATGAAATAAAACTATAAAAATACAATATGATAATGTAAACTGATAGCCTGTTCTTATTTCAAGATTCTTTTTTAACTAATGTCTATTTTGTAAGATACTAATATGGCATTTTGTAATTGGTTTATGATATTTTAAATCTATACTTAAGACAATCTTAGATATAAAAATGGGTTATAACTATGGGTTGATGGTACCGAACTATGAAACTTTATTTTATTTGTACAGAAGTTACTTGAAACAAATCCCGAGCAACACACACGGCAACATACACCGTCTGCCGACTCGAGCGGTTGTTCGAGTGGCCAAGAATCCGTTACTTCGTCGCTCACAGCAGAATCTCAGGTCTGCAGCGATAGCGGCACCGAGGTAGATGCGGTGCATACGCCACCTGATAAAGTGAAGAGTCAGCCTGTTCGGGAGCCGACTAATCTGCGACAGAGAAGCGTTACACGTGGACCAACTCGCACCTGGGAGTTAACCTCATATGTTAAAGTTGGCAATTCCGGAGAAACAATTCTTGAGGAAACTGTGTCGCTGGCACGATCAACAAATAGTCTGTCTGAGAATACATCTCAGCAGCGATCCAGTCTGGAATATGCCAGTATGCCATCCTCCTCAGAAGCGCTTCCAAACTTCGTAACGAGAAAGAATATCGACACTATCAGCGGGAATAGTGGCAATAACAGTAGCAGTAATAGTGATGGTAGCCAAGGCAATGATAGTAACGATGACAATTACCGTGATACCGCGTCGTTGCTCAAAGTTGTAAATGAAAAATTATCTTTGGTTTCGGAACAGAAACAGAAGGAGAAGCAGAAAGAAAAACAGAAGGAGAAGCAGAAGCTAGCTGTCGATGATATAGACAAAAATTCAATTATTGAGTTGAACAAAAAGATAGAAATGTTGACGTCGCATATTAACCCCGATAACACGACAATGGCAATACCATACGTTCAAGCAGGCTTGAGAGACAAATCACCTCCTTGTTTATCCAAATCTATACAAGCTAGGAATGCCAATCTGATGTGTGGCTCCTTTAAAACAAAAAATAACCAGAATTTATGCAAGAAGGAATATGTGTCATACTTTCCGACCATCACCGAGATAATCGATAACACTTTGACTTCGACAAGTCCGTACATGTTCGCATCTATAGTTCCCGAAGGGATGACGTTACCGGGTTTGAAAATGGATGAAGAATCTCTATCACAGAAGACGCCTCACGATCCGCACAGTCCAACGAGTGAATCCTCATACAATCCCGCGTGTTCCGTGCACGAAACGCAGGAACAGCAAGAAAAACGAAGCCACTCGTGGACATGATGGACAACATCGAAGAAAACGATAATAAAGATAATATAACATTCTCCACCCCGTCTTGGTCGACAACGAATACGGCAGTAGAAAAGAAGGAGCTGAACTCCGGCTATACAACTATCCCATCGTCTTCCTCGGAAGGCCTTTCTCTTTCAGCGGAAACACCTTATGTGCAACTGGAGCAACTGCCGCTATCGTCATCGCAGACAGCAAGAAATCAGTTGGATGAGCAGTACACACAAATAACACAGGTGTCAAGTACAGTTCAGTGAGTTGAGGAGATAGAAATACTATCATCTTTTTCTCCTGTTTTTCGCGATGATGATTACTGCCATTTGCGTAAACGAACAAAATAAGTGTTAACATTGCGATATATATAAAGATATGAGATGGTATAAAAAACTGGGATGTTACGCATCTGAATGTAATTATGATGATTGCGCGAATTGACTGAGCTGAACAGCGACCTTTAACAACTTCGAAAGAAAATTCTTTTGTCAACATACGAAGAGATTTAAGAGACTTTCCTCATGAAAGGAAATGTTTCATATTTGCTTCAAAAATAAGACTGGATTTAAGCAAAATGAGAGATCACTGACTTGGGATCAAATGAATTATCTCAGATATTTGTCCCTAAGTAAGAGAGTTTCAAATTACATTTGAAGACGCTTCCTTAAAAAATTGTCGTTGCAAGAAAAGTTATATGCACAAAGCGTCTGTACAAAAGATAATATACATAAACGTGATTCGCAGAGCTTTTAAGGAAGCATTTTCTACTCTTCCGCCCAAGTTAGTGTCTTCACATTCAATTATATTTGTGTATCCGGTGTGATATACATGTGGTACAATACGTTCGAGCGATAAGAATGTCAGATCAGCATTCTCGTTCACCAAAATATGTACCAATACTGCTACTGTTACTTTTTTTATATTATGTGCGTGATCAATGCGATATCATGCCACGAGTTACAGTAAGTAAATAGATTATATATAAATATGTAGTGTATATATATATATATGTGTATATGTATCATAGACATAGTTAAACTATATGTCTACGATATATAGCCAGATTGACGGACAGTTTATTGCTGTCGAAAAACAAATAAATTTTGTTTATTTCAGACGATCTATAATTCAGAATCAGATGATCTATAACAGAAATAAATTCTTTCTTAACTCTGAGGCGTCCGAAATTTTAGGAAATTTGCGCTTTTAATTCACGCACTACATGAATTAACGATCTTGAATGATCTATGATTAATGATTTTATAATCATTATGACATCCTGAAAAAAGCAGATATGCACAATATGAGAAAATAACATTATGAAGTTTTTGTAAAAAAAATAACTTTTTTAGTGTTTCCAAACAACATCTCTTAATAATCGTAATTCGATTTAATAATTGCGATTACTGTTAAAACAAGCTTTTTAAATATATAATAAAATTGTATATAGTTTTGTTCTGAGATTGCAGAATATAAATAGAGTTAACACACGCACAGATAAAATGTTTTAACATTTTAGCTACCCCATCTTTTATATATTACAAATTTCCTTCCTTAAATGCTCCATCAAAATTTAAGCTAATATTCTATTCATAATTTTATATGTAATACGACAAGATTAAAGAACTAGAATACATGCATATAATTAAAAAAAAAAAATTATATAAAAAACTTCAGCATACAGAGATACATCGAAACACACGGCATAAAGAAACTATGCATAGTAGACGTCATAGATTTCTATTCTGAAAAATTATAGATCGTCTATAGTTTTAGTTAGAGACTATTTTCGCGGCACAAATTTTTTGCTAAATTTTCGTTTAATCTTGAGAGAATATTTTGCCATCTTTGCAGAGACAAATAAACTTTTTTTAGAACTATATTTCTTAGATTTATCTTAATAGCAGAGATATCTTTGTTTAATCCTTAGTTAATTGCTTGATTCAGCTGATGCAACGTGATTAGTTACATAGATATTATAACTCTATCTACATTTTTGACTATATTAATAAAATAGAAATTAATTATTAAATAAAAGATTAAAATGACGCTAATTATTAAATAAAAGATTAAACTGACGCTATGGATAAGAAAGAAAAGAGACAAAAAAAATATTTTATAAATTTATAATCTTCTTTAATTCACACGGCACGCGATTAATTAAGGATTAACGTCGTTTCGAAATAACGATTCTTAACATCGTGTTGAAAGCAACAAGTGCATACAGATATTCCATTAAACGATTTCTTGGCACTCAACGAAAATACCATGCGCTCACAAATATTCATTTTTACACGACAGGATTGTTCAAAAAAGAGGAAACATTAAAAATAATCGAAATTATCTATATATTTTAATAGTCTATGGAGTAGGTATATAGGAATGCTCGAAGAATATCGTAAAAGTAAATTACATAATTTTTTATGTATTTGAGATATACATTATGTATAAAAACTATATTGGAAATGTTCATGTGCTCAAGCTTTTTATTATCTAAGGAATGATTACATTCGCTACATCTATATTCAGTATAACTAAGGAATACGCAAGATAAATATATGTATACTTCTCAGATATAATTATTATATTTTATAGAATACAATTTCAATACTAAGAAAAAGAAAAAATGGACACATTCCGTATATTTTTTATATAATATAATGTATGTTTCGAATATGTACGTAATCTATCTTTACAGTATCCTTTAACATTCTCAGAATCTTCATGTGCTTGGAATATATAATTACAGATAATAGAAATATTGCGCAAATCTTCAATTGCGGATGTATCATCAAAATTATCTTTTTTTTATATATATATTTATTCGATCAGTCAAAAGTTGAATTGTGCAACGAATATACAATTGCTTTATTCATATAGTTTGATACTTCATCATTATAAATATCGATCGCGAATAAAATTGTACACAGCAAGGTAATGGGCTTTTATAATAGCGCTATAATACGAGTATACCGCACACGAGGACAGGGTCAGGGATAATAAAGTAAGATGAGATAAAAAAAAAACATCACAATAAACGCAGCATAGGCGTCACCGAGCGGTTTGCGAGGATAATTTTTCTGAAACGAAATTGATTGTCACATTATGAAAAGACTGTTAATATTATTCTACAAAATTTTAATGTTGCAACCCAATCATTTGTATTCTCAAAGTTTAGAATGAAATAATTGGATCGAAAAAACGTTCGCCGTACTTTAATATCATTGTTTTCAACAGAAAAAAAAAGTAGATTGGATAGGAGAAATTGCGTGGAGATGCCTATGCGCTACAATTATCCTGCGCTTAATCGTGTGCAGGTCAAAAGACAATTAAGGTGTCCCGCGCACAGAGTATAGAGTTGGTTGTGAGTAATGCGCAAGTGACAATTAAAATATTCTCACACTACCGCAGCAGCAAGAATATATGTATGCATAATATGCACGTACCTTAAAACTAGTCAGATGCACCGCCTTCTTTTTACAGGCCTTTCTTTCGTACATTGCTATAATATTGTCGAATTTGAAATTGGAAATTATACGAAATTTAATAATAAGCGAAAAAACAAAAACGTATCGAGCAACCGATTTTTTTTTAATAGATCTTGTAACAATATCTTTTAGATTTAATATGTTAAAATCAATTATTTCAATTGATAAAACGAATGCATCTTTTGATTCATTGGACCTTATAATAATTGTATGATTATAATGATTGTACTAATATTAAATGTAAAATATTGTTTTTTTTTAAATCATCTTTAAAAAAAAACTTTATTAAAGAATTGATGACTTTTGTTTATTATTATTAATATAACATAAAATTGTAGAAAGACTAATTATGTAGTTCCATACTTAAGAAATATAAATTTGGATGCAATTGTAAGTTTGATTAAGAGATAAATATAACTTAGCTATCAAAGTTACGTTCTTATTGGTAGGACTCAGATTTTGAAAT